GTTTGGGGATTTGAATTATACAAATGATGGAAAATAAAAAATTTAATATGAAAATAGAAATTGAGAAAAAAAGGTTCATATTATGCATCAAAATGTACTATGCAAATTTGATCAAATTGACCCGTGGACACGCCTATGGCACATTTCAAGAGTTGAATAACTTACATCCATTTAACTACCACCTAAAACCTTGATTAAGTAATTATTTTAGATAYATTTAAAACGCAATTGAGACAATGAATACTAAGATCCACACAATAGTTCTACATGATATGTGTATGGCAAGTCATGGTTCTTTGTACATAAGTACATAACTATTTTTAACAAAATATTATACAATTCAAATACTTACAAGAAGAGTGGTGTTTTGAGTATCTTAAGGTTGGCCCTATGTTGAGGGAGCACATCTTCTAGATAATAATAACAATGGCCAACAGCAATTCCCATCAAATCCACCCATGGCGTGTTTCCCAACAAAATTGAAAAACCAAGTAACACCCATGGCAAGTATGGAGCCTGTTAAAAATCAAAATATGTACTTAAATGTAAAATTTCATTTCATACATTAAATAATTAAAACAGCCAATAAGGAGTTTTTTTTTTTTTTTTTTTTTTTTTTTTATTAATTAGCTTTCAGTAAAAACTATTATAATAAGGAGTTATTTAGTAGTTTCTTTTCTATATGCATATAGAAGCTATTTAATGGCAAATTGGCAATACGAGTAAAATTAAGTTTATTTTTGGTGAATGTAGATATTAAACAAAGTTTATTTATGACCACCACAATATACGACCATATAATTCACAGTTTATGACAAGAATACATTTCAAGATGAGGAAAAGTATTGATAYGGATTCACAGATTGTTTTAGAGATAATAAGCTATTTTTTCATTTTTAAGTAAAATACATATTTTGTGATTAGTTAAAGAATTATAGTTATATTTAGATAAATAAAAAAATAATAATTGTTTTCAAAATGCTTAATAGTCCGGATTGAAAGGATTGTAACTTTAGTTTCAATCCGGATATGTATTGATCTGAATTTGGAGATGGTAACTTTTTTTTAAAATTTGGTTACTATTTTCCTGGTCTCTTGAACATCATTATAAACAATTTTAACTGCATTATTCTATGAAATTAAGAATCTTAGTAAGTAATAAAAAAATTAACTCAACTTTTAAATTAATTTAATAGTATTAATTATGAAAATTTGTTGGTATAGAAATTGTCAATGGACTGATAAAAATGAAAGTATAATATACAGAATATTAAAATAGCAACAGTACACTTTTTACAAAGTTGTTTATCTTAAAAAACTTAATAGTTTATTTTAATGGTTAAGGAATTAACATTATTAATTTGAAAGTCCTGTTAAAAATGTATACAATTCAAAT